ATCCTCTTGCTTTTGGCTGTGGCTGGGCTTGGCCACGCAGGCTTTTTGCTTATTTGCTGCATTTCCCGACCTGGTGGGCGTGAAAGGATGGAGGCAAACCCAGGACATGCAGGGGGAAGGGTGTCTCAGGGGTCTCTCAAAGCACAGAATCTCTGCGGGGTCAAGTGGTTTTTTTTTCCCCCTCTCGCATTGCTTCTTGCGCACAGTTATGATCTTAGAGTCACAAATGGTTTGCAGGGCAACTTGTACAGTGGGTTCAATGCTCAGCTCATGTGGCTTCTTGCCATGGAGGCAGCTGGTCATGATGTTTGTTGAGGGGAAACCTCCGCTGTCCTCCATCCCAGATGTAAGCAAGTGGGCTAGCAGCATGTCACTCCACAGTTCCTCTAAGAAACAGATAAATTACGTATCACTTCAGAAATAAAAGTGTGATTTATGGAGTGATGTAGTAATTCGAGCAGGAGATGAGAAGTGACCAGGCTGTTTGTTCCAGGGGAGATGCAAGGGCAAGTGGGAGGCTCGAAAACAGCTTCTATTGTGGCAGATCTGTCCGAGACCACCTTCGAGACGCTCTACGGGGAGGAGAGGTGGGTCTGGCTGTGCCCGTGGCCCTAACACCACACCTGGGAGGCAGAGGGGGCTCCGTGCCCCCCTCGGCAGCAGCCCCCTGGCGCTGGGGACGTTGGCTGGGCGGGGGGATCTCACTGCCGCTCTCGCTGCTTTCAGGATTGGAGGAGAAGTCCACTCCATGGTGTGGGACCCCACCGGTGAGAGGCTGGCCGTGATCATCAGGGGTAAGCGCTGCCTCCACCCCGCCTGCCCCAGCGCTGGGCTCTGCCTGGAAATCCCCCTTCCAGCAGCAGAGGGGTGCAAACCCCGCTGAGGTGAGGAGTCGGGCCGAGGAGGCAGCTCCCACTCTCCGTCCTTTCTCACCGTGACTCCGCTCCTCTGTATCCTTTGGAGAGGGATGCCTCCGAGTTCCCTCCCCACTTCCAGATGGATGAATCACCTCTCCCAACCCCCCTGCAAGGTCTCTGTGTTCCCACAGTGCCCACATTACGCCTGGAGCCCGACTGGGCCTCTTGGCTCCATTTCTAGGGGCAGCCCCTGGGATAATTGAGCCATTCAGGCTCTCCTGGACAGGCCCCACTCCGAGACAAAGCGGACCTTTGAGGGAGCACCGAAACACGGTGCTGGGGATGCTGCTGCCTCGGGCTCCCTCCCTGCATGCCACCGGTGGGGAGACAGCTGAAGCTGCTGAGCCCAAACTCATTTTTTTTGCTGTGCTTAAAGCTGGGTGGGGAAGAAACTGGGTGGGGGGAAAACCTGAGGGTACCAGGACTCCCATAGCTGGCATGCCCCTGTCCGCTGCACCTCCAGGTAGGTCCTGCGAGGATCTCGGTGCAGAAACCCTGATAGGATGGAAAATAACCACACTGGAGACAGGGCCCCCATGTCACGCCTTAAAGGCTGGGGTGTTTCCAAAGGAGTCACCTCATCTATTGCCCAAACCCTTCTCAGCCAAACCTACCTCCCCGAGACCTCGGAGCCAGCGTTAAAGCACTGAAGGGTCTTTGAAAGCCCTGTCCTGAAATCCTGCGCACCTTGGTGTGAGGAAAACGCGGTCCACAGCCAGCTTCCCCCCACCTCGGTGGCTGCCTGCCCCAGTCTCTGCAGCACCCAGCTGCTCCCCACAAAAACCTGACCTCCGTGTCCCCGCTCCGGTGTCGAGGGGCCTGCCTGCGTGCCTGTGCCATCCCTCAGACCAGGGAAAGCCTTACCGCTCCTCCTCCCCCAGGGCACGCCGACGCTCCCGGGAGTCAGACGGTCATCGCAGTGTTTCGCACCCGCAACAGCCCCGTGTTTGAGCTCCTGCCGTGGTGCGTAGCAGCAGATTTTGGGTTGGTTTGGGGTTGGCTGAATACCAGCAATCCTCCAGGGCGTGGTGTGGAAGAGCAGACCCACCTCGGAGCGGAGAGACGCTGCCGCCCTGGGCTCCCGCTTCGGGCAGTGTCGCTGTTTTCCCCTAGAATCGGTTGCGTTTTGGCCATATTGTCTGTTATCCACCTCAAAGCCCTTTGCTTCAGGCTGCCCTTGCCTGGTCCATCCTGGCAGGGCCCAAATGTCTCTGCTTAACCACAAGTTACCCTAAAAGTGCCACATCTTGCCGGTGTGACCGAGTGCTGCCCCGCGGTCACACTGTAACAGCGGCTTTTCCTTCTCCCCACCACCAGTGGTTTCCTGCGAGGCGAGCGTGGTGCGCAGCCCCAGATCATCGCCTTCCACCCCTGCTTCAAGAAGGGTGCCCTCCTGACCGTGGTGAGTGCAGTCCCCCGTTTCAGCAGTTCTCGGGGCTCCCTGTGGCAGTGCCTGAGGGACATCAATCTGGTGGCTGAGCAGGGCGGGTGGAAAAACCTCCCCACGGTATCCCCGTCCTTGCTGGGGTCACAGAGATGGTGACAGGGTGACGCTTGGGCTGTCACCCCTGCCGCGTCCTGCACTCATCTGCCTCCTCTTGTCCTCTTCGCCCTCCAGTGCTGGTCCACGGGGAAGATCAGCCACATCCCCTTCTTCTTCGTGAGCACCCATGTCCCCTGCGCCAGCCCCAGCCCCGTCATGGCCAGCGCCAGTGTGCGGGAGCAGCCCCTCTTCTCGGAGCTGTGACGGCACCCAGGTCCTCAACGGCGCCTTCCCGAAGAGCCTGCGCTGGGACGCTCCCTCTTCAGCCTCCATCCTCCTGGGACGCACAGCGTGGCCACAGGTGCCTTTCGTACCCCTCGTGGTCTCACAGCTCGCGGGGCCAGCGCTGTACAGATTACAGCTGGGTCTTTGTCCCCACTGCCCCTCGCCGTCACTGCGCCTCACTATTTCCTTGC